CTTTTTTTTTAATTTTGTTTTTTGTGAAGGATATGGCAGCGCTTTTTCAATAAGCGCTTTAGTATAGGCGCTGCTAAAACTTGTTTTTGGCGTAGTGCCTTCACAGTGTATTAAATTTTCTTGAGTAGGTTGTTATATTTTTCTTGGTGACAGTAAAGTATCTTTAAGGATGTGGGGTAGTAGTGATTATGTATAGAAGCTGATTTGAATTTATAAAAGAATGATGCATGATAAACTTGAGATGATTTGGCAGCACGTTTTGATTTGTTTTTCGTGTTAACAGTCAATAATCATTCATGGATAAACTCGTCGAGTCAGTTAGTTAAAAACAACTTGTAAAATGTGAGGTGAGAAGGGAACAAGAGAAAATGAATAGAATGTGTCAGAACTTCACATGGCCATAGCAGGCGAAATGGAAACAAAAGCGAACAACATTTTCTTCCTTTCTTTTTTTCTTTTCTTTATTATTCTACTTTGACGCTTTTAATTCACGAGGAGCGGGTTTCGTCTTCTCGAAGAAAAACAAATGAAGTTATAATTAACTACTGCGTTTGATCTGGTGAAACATATGAAGCTACAAAAATCAGTTTTCACACCTCATCAAATATATACAGAAACACACGTTGAACATGAAAAGCATCCACATATATTTTTATATTATTTACTTAACTGGTATGTTTTCTTTTGGTGTTTCAGGACACTATGGACCCACTACCTCCCTGGAGGAATATTAATATGAATAATACGGATTGGTGGAGGTCTTTCGACATCCACAATAAGTTGGAAGCTGCAAATTATCTCAATCAGCTTTCAGAAGGTGTGTTGATTGACGTTTTGACAAAGGTAGAAACTAAACAAGCAATATATGTTTGCTCTCATGTGCTACACCAAAGACACGTGAACACTTGGAAGCGGGTAAACACTTTATGTTTTAACAGTAACTCTCATCAAAATCTGAATGATTTTGATGAGTATGTAAATCGTGTTTTAACGCAACACAATTGAAATTTCTTACTATTGAAAATTTCAAAAAAATCTGACATTTTCTTGAAATTTCTGGTAATGTAAAATTTAGGAGCAAAAGAATAATAGCACTATCATTGAGGGGTGTCAGTTATAAGTGTGAGAGTGACAAGTTAAATCTCTGTCCTTCTCGTTTAAGGTATCAAGTCCAATATTACAGTGTAAAAGTGGATGTAGATCTGGGTGCAGGCACTTGTGCATGCAGGTTTGAGTAGTTGGGTAGTTGACTAGTAATAACTTTGAGCAAAAATAATTATTTTTCAATAATTTTTGCTTGCAAATATATACAATATTATACTGATGTTAATTGTGATGCATTTATTGGAAAGTGTTTGTAACTTAATATTTTTTGCCCCTATCTTGATTGGTAAGACGAGACATGCGATGAAAGTTTCATACTCAACGTGATTATTGGTAGTGGAGAATTCAAAACATAGGGATACTTCACTCACCAACTCTACTTCATTTTCTAATATGAGTTTGGCCCCTCTCCCATGCTAATAATAATAATAATAATAATAACAATAATAATAATAATAATAATAATAATAATAATAATAATAATAATAATAATAATAATAATAATAATAATAATAACAACAATAATAACAATAACAATAATAATAATAACAATAACAATAACAATAATAACAATAATAATAATAATAATAATAATAATAATAATAATAATAATAATAATAATAATAATAATAATAATAATAATAATAATAATAATAATAATAATAAAAAACTATCTTTTAATTCAATTTAAAAATTTAAGAGTAATTAATTAAATAATAATAATAAAATATATCATCTTTTCAATATAGGCTGAAAATAGTTTTTTTATCACTTAGCCCTAATAATAATAATATATAACGAGCGAATGTACCATTTATTTGAATTGTAACAACGTCTCGTACCTAAACCGTAGCAGGTCTTACCTTCTCAACCATTCCAAGCAAGAAGACGCTGCTGCTCACAGGTTTGAATATAAAGATTCTTATCTTTTAGATTGTTCTGCATAAAGAATGGTGGTTTCTTTAAGATGACTCGAACATTTCCTAAAAGGAAAGATCCTTCACAGTGTATTAAATTTTCTTGAGTAGGTTGTTATATTTTTCTTGGTGACAGTAAAGTATCTTTAAGGATGTGGGGTAGTAGTGATTATGTATAGAAGCTGATTTGAATTTATAAAAGAATGATGCATGATAAACTTGAGATGATTTGGCAGCGCGTTTTGATTTGTTTTTCGTGTTAACAGTCAATAATCATTCATGGATAAACTCGTCGAGTCAGTTAGTTAAAAACAACCTGTAAAATGTGAGGTAAGAAGGGAACAAGAGAAAATGAATAGAATGTGTCAGAACTTCACATGGCCATAGCAGGCGAAATGGAAACAAAAGCGAACAACATTTTCTTCCTTTCTTTTTTTCTTTTCTTTATTATTCTACTTTGACGCTTTTAATTCACGAGGAGCGGGTTTCGTCTTCTCGAAGAAAAACAAATGAAGTTATAATTAACTACTGCGTTTGATCTGGTGAAACATATGAAGCTACAAAAATCAGTTTTCACACCTCATCAAATATATACAGAAACACGCGTTGAACATGAAAAGCATCCACATATATTTTTATATTATTTACTTAACTGGTATGTTTTCTTTTGGTGTTTCAGGACACTATGGACCCACTACCTCCCTGGAGGAATATTAATGTGAATAATACAGATTGGTGGAGGTCTTTCGACATCCACAATAAGTTGGAAGCTGCAAATTATCTCAATCAGCTTTCAGAAGGTGTGTTGATTGACGTTTTGACAAAGGTAGAAACTAAACAAGCAATATATGTTTGCTCTCATGTGCTACACCAAAGACACGTGAACACTTGGAAGCGGGTAAACACTTTATGTTTTAACAGTAACTCTCATCAAAATCTGAATGATTTTGATGAGTATGTAAATCGTGTTTTAACGCAACACAATTGAAATTTCTTACTATTGAAAATTTCAAAAAAATCTGACATTTTCTTGAAATTTCTGGTAATGTAAAATTTAGGAGCAAAAGAATAATAGCACTATCATTGAGGGGTGTCAGTTATAAGTGTGAGAGTGACAAGTTAAATCTCCGTCCTTCTCGTTTAAGGTATCAAGTCCAATATTACAGTGTAAAAGTGGATGTAGATCTGGGTGCAGGCACTTGTGCATGCAGGTTTGAGTAGTTGGGTAGTTGACTAGTAATAACTTTGAGCAAAAATAATTATTTTTCAATGATTTTTGCTTGCAAATATATACAATATTATACTGATGTTAATTGTGATGCATTTATTGGAAAGTGTTTGTAACTTAATATTTTTTGCCCCTATCTTGATTGGTAAGACGAGACATGCGATGAAAGTTTCATACTCAACGTGATTATTGGTAGTGGAGAATTCAAAACATAGGGATACTTCACTCACCAACTCTACTTCATTTTCTAATATGAGTTTGGCCCCTCTCCCATGCTAATAATAATAATAATAATAATAATAATAATAATAACAACAATAATAACAATAACAATAATAATAATAACAATAACAATAATAATAATAATAATAATAATAATAATAATAATAATAATAATAATAATAATAAAAAACTATCTTTTAATTCAATTTAAAAATTTAAGAGTAATTAATTAAATAATAATAATAAAATATATCATCTTTTCAATATAGGCTGAAAATAGTTTTTTTATCACTTAGCCCTAATAATAATAATATATAACGAGCGAATGTACCATTTATTTGAATTGTAACAACGTCTCGTACCTAAACCGTAACAGGTCTTACCTTCTCAACCATTCCAAGCAAGAAGACGCTGCTGCTCACAGGTTTGAATATAAAGATTCTTATCTTTTAGATTGTTCTGCATAAAGAATGGTGGTTTCTTTAAGATGACTCGAACATTTCCTAAAAGGAAAGATCCTTCACCGTGTATTAAATTTTCTTGAGTAGGTTGTTATATTTTTCTTGGTGACAGTAAAGTATCTTTAAGGATGTGGGGTAGTAGTGATTATGTATAGAAGCTGATTTGAATTTATAAAAGAATGATGCATGATAAACTTGAGATGATTTGGCGGCGCGTTTTGATTTGTTTTTCGTGTTAACAGTCAATAATCATTCATGGATAAACTCGTCGAGTCAGTTAGTTAAAAACAACCTGTAAAATGTGAGGTAAGAAGGGAACAAGAGAAAAGGAATATAATGTGTCAGAACTTCACATGGCCATAGCAGGCGAAATGGAAACAAAAGCGAACAACATTTTCTTCCTTTCTTTTTTTCTTTTCTCTATTATTCTACTTTGACGCTTTTAATTCACGAGGAGCGGGTTTCGTCTTCTCGAAGAAAAACAAATGAAGTTATAATTAACTATTGCGTTTGATCTGGTGAAACATATGAAGCTACAAAAATCAGTTTTCACACCTCATCAAATATATACAGAAACACGCGTTGAACATGAAAAGCATCCACATATATTTTTATATTATTTACTTAACTGATATGTTTTCTTTTGGTGTTTCAGGACACTATGGACCCACTACCTCCCTGGAGGAATATTTTTCTTTTGGTGTTTCAGGACACTATGGACCCACTACCTCCCTGGAGGAATATTAATATGATATGTTTTCTTTTGGTGTTTCAGGACACTATGGACCCACTACCTCCCTGGAGGAATATTAATATGAATAATACGGATTGGTGGAGGTCTTTCGACATCCACAATAAGTTGGAAGCTGCAAATTATCTCAATCAGCTTTCAGAAGGTGTGTTGATTGACGTTTTGACAAAGGTGGAAACTAAACAAACAATATATGTTTGCTCTCATGTGCTACACCAAAGACACGTGAACACTTGGAAGCGGGTAAACACTTTATGTTTTAACAGTAACTCTCATCAAAATCATCAGATTTTGATGAGTATGTAAATCGTGTTTTAATGCAACGTGGCGACTTTAAGGTTAACACGTTACAGTACCACCGCTGCGGTGAGGAGAACAAAACCAACGAAATTTTACTTACAAGGATGCTGCAATACTCATTTGACCATGATGTGGAAAGCATCTGGATTAACTTAAAAACTTTGCATGGTCGAAGTACAAGGGTAACCTTTTCTACTTTTATTTTGGAGTCTAGTACCTTAAAAGTGTTACGTTTAGATTTTTGCGCCTTAAATAATTTGAACCTTAGCAAAGAAGGAAAGTCTTCGTCCATTGAAGAGTTACACCTCTTAAATCTTGCTACTCGATTTATTGTACCTTTGCCTACTGAGGAGTACAAACACTGTTGTTACTGTGGAGTTGTTACTGAGGATGCGTGGATGGTACAAACATTGTTTTATCTGATGATGGTATCACATGGTACCAACATTGTTGTTACTGAGGATGCTTGAGGATGGTACAAACACTGTTGTTACTGAGGATGGTACAAACACTGTTTTATCTGATGATGGTATCACATGGTACCAACATTGTTGTTACTGAGACTGTTGTTACTGAGGATGGTACAAAAACACTGTTGTTACTGAGGATTGGTACAAAAACTGTTGTTACTGAGGATTGGTACAAACACTGTTGTTACTGAGGATGGTACAAAAACACTGTTGTTACTGAGGATTGGTACAAACACTGTTGTTACTGAGGATGGTACAAAAACACTGTTGTTACTGAGGATTGGTACAAACACTGTTGGCTGAGGATGGTATAGACGCTGTTTTAGCTGAGGATGGTATAGACATTGTTGTTCTTGAGGATGGTACCAACACTTTTGTTTCCAAGGATGGTACAAACACTATTGTTGCTAAGGGTACAAACACAAACAATGTTGTTGACAAACAATGATGGTGCTGATCATGAATCCACCAAATTCATTGATGCACACGACTTTAACCAAATTGTAACACAACTGTATGAAACGGGACATGAGAGTGAAGCAACTAAGTTGATTGGATTTTATCCTAGAATAGAAAGAGGACATTTGATAGAAGCTGGATATTTGAGTGAATATATTGATGATGGACATTTTCGTTCTTCTTACGGTGAATCCAACAATACACAACCGGTTGCAACTCCTGATACCACTATTGTGGCAACTGCTGATACAGTGTGCCAGCTGAAATGATACAAATCACACAAGATCAGACAACGGTAATCCAAAATCAGACAAGGGTAATGGAAAATCAGAGAGATATTATCCACAACCAGGCGAATGTTATCAAGATTCTATCAAAGATTTTAACTGAACTTGCCAAATCAATTCAAGAGAAGTAGTTATTTGGCCAATTCAGGTTAATAAACTCTGCATTTGATTCTATGTTTTGCTTTATTTGCTCAATTCTGGTTACTAGCATTTGGTTAATTTGATTTTATGTTTTGCTTTATTTGACCAATTCAGGTTACTAGCATTTGATACATTTCTGTGATTCTACTCTACTCTCCAATTCTGATTACTATACTAAGAATACTTTAGTTGGGAATTCTATTATTCTTTTATGTTTTGCCTTAGGAAATGGGATAAATAAAATATCAATGGGATTTCCCTTAGGAAATGGATCACAAAATTAAATATTAATATAATATAGCATCATGCGAAACCTTAAACAAAACACAGCAAAACACAGAAAGAAGAAAAGCAAATTTAATTTATTAAAAAAAAACAACTTTTTAAAGTTTTACGTATTTTAGGAGTACAAATAGTTATCAGAGCTTGGAAAACAAAAAAATCTACCTGGAAAATCGATTTGTGGATCTAGATGGATCAAAATGCACAAGTACTTGGATGCAAAAGGATGGATCTAAACCCACAAGTATTTGAATGCAAAATATTGATCTGGGTGATGGATCTAAGGATTTCGGCAAGTTTGGGTATGGATCTACCCATAAAATAGAAAAAAGGATGGATTTGTAGAAGTGGAGTCTTTAAGATTTGGAGGATGGATGTGAGGAAAAGGATGTTTGAAACCTAACCTACCGAAGACAAGCATGCACATGTTGTGTTTTACCTTGACATGCACCAATGGATAGAGAAACTATTCAATTACTTAGAGACTCATTATATATATAAAAGTTGCATAAACAAGCTTAGGCTCCGGGTTACAAGCCCAAGTCGAAATAAGGCCCCATGTGCTAAAAAGGAGAGATTTCATGTCACCCTTGGTATTAATCCTTGCACCCCCTATATTTTCATATTGATCAGATTATCTATGTTATTATTAACTCTAAAAATTATGTTTTGTGAAAAAAATTTATTGAGAAATTTTTTGAAAAAACGAAATTTCCAGTACATATTAGTGAATTTTTGGTATCGCTTAAGGTAAAATATTGAAAATTCTTTGTATTTTAGAAATTTCTAGAAGTGATTTACCGGAAATTTTCAAATTGGTTGTACGAATTTCAAATGTTTGAATATTATACTGGCTTTTTCTTAAAATTCTGAAACATTTCAAAAATATTTGGAAATTTCAAATTTTCGGTTTACCGGAAATTTCAAATTTCCAATTTACCAAAAAATTTGCCAACCCTGTCATTTCTGCTATGGCAAAAAATGAGCCTCTCTACTTGTGCAGTCCTGAACCGGCACAAATGGCAGCTTCTTCTACGGGTTCTTGTACATATTGTAAGGAGTTCTTCATCACTGATGTTGTACCTATTCTATTTAACAAACCTTATTCCAAAATATTTGTCTGTTTGTAGGAAATTGTTAATTTAACATTTATATTTCAAAATTGACAGATATTCAAGACTTTATCATATGTGTTAGGATGGGCACAGGCTACTAGGAAACAACTTGGTATTATTATTGTCACGGTTCCTTCTGATTCGGCTAATGGAATCACAATGGGGAAGGATAAATTGATTATGTATAGCGAGAGAAGAGGAAATTATAAAAGAAAGAAAAGGCATGTTAAAGCGCAAACTCATTTGACAACATTTATAGCATAAAAGTGAAATGTCCTTTTAGGCTTAGAGTTGTTCCAAGTGGTGTTGGTTAAAAGATGATGGTTAGGTGCAAGATACACAACCATAGATTATCTGAGAATTTGGAAGGCTGTGATATATTGGGTTGTTTAAAAGATCATGAACGATAGTTTGTGAATGATATGATGATGTACAACATGGCTCCAAGGTTCATCGTTGCTGCTTTAAAAGACAAATATCCTGAAAACCTAACTAGTGTTACTCAAGTGTGTAGAGCCAGAGCTACAAACAGAACGGGAAAAGATGACCATTGACAGAATGCAAATATTGTTGAGTCTTATTCATAAAGAGAAGTACATGTGTTGGACTAGAAATAGGGACGATGTATATGTTGTTGCTGATATCTTTTGGACACATCTGGATTGGTGAAGTTGCGGGATATGTTTCATTTGGTGTTGATTTTTGACTGCACATACAAGACAAATATGTAAGAATATTTTATTGGACATCCTAACATCTGTTGTTGTAAGTGATGATGTAAAAACATCGGAATCAGCATTTGCGGGTCGCTTTAGGCACTGTGAAGAGGAAGTTAGGAAATTATTTTAATTTATTTTATACCCTTTTATGTATGATAATTATTAAATGTCTATGTTTAATCAGGTGTCATGTTTATTGGTCCAGTTATGTTCGAAGAAAATCAATTGAAAAAAAGGAAAAAAACACATGCTAACAGAGTTCCGAAAATTTAAAATTTCCGGAATTTTTTGGTGATTACCGAAAATTTTATTAAAATTCCGGTAATTATTGTAACATAACCGGAAATTTGAAATTAACAAATTTTTACGGAAAATATATGTGTTTTTAACAAAATTTTCGGTAAACAATCCAAATTTCCTGTATACGTTAAAAATTTTCATGTTTTCCAAAAAAATTTAGGATAAAATGCTCGGGGGGTTGTCATGTATAACTCTGAAGTGAACACCATTATGTATTTTTAGGGGCCTCTGTGCGAAATTTTCATAATACTCCATGAATTCGGATATGCATATCCAAACGAACCTTTTTTTATAAAATACTTAACTTCAGAGATGCATATCTGAAACTACCATATTTTTTACACACATTCATTTTCGAATAAACCTTATTTTTTACGGAAAAAAGTATTTTCGGATATGCATATTTAAGTCTTAAAATTGTGATAGTTAGATAGTCTGAAAGCATACCGGATGATGCACTTAGTGTTTTAGAGTGATCAATTTAGTGTAAAATGGACAAGATAAAATTTTGAGGTACTAAAGAAATCACACACACGTTATCTTTTCAACCCTTATATAGTTTTATTAAACTTCTTAAAACGAATACATGCAAGTATGTATTTGGTTAAGAAGTGTTCCTAATAAATAGGGAAATTTAACTCACTGCCTAATCGATTAAGACCTTGGTCAAATCGATTAAAGGAAAGAGAATTGTATTTTAATCAATTAGAAAATACATTGATCGATTAAAGCATATAGACATTTTAGGGGTTCCTTTTCTAGATAATAGTTGCATTTTTAAAGTGGCTTAATTGATTAAAATATCTTTTAATCAATTTACTCATTTATTTATGCCCGAAGATTATTTCCTTTTTAGCAATATTTTTTTCCTTTATAAATGAGTTTTTTCCTCATTTCATATTACACCATATTTTTTAATAGAAACCTCTCCATTATTTTTCTACTTTTTTCTTTTTGAAATTCTCCCTTTCTTTTACTAGAATTGTCATTGTTTAAAGAGTGAAAAGGCTCTTTTAAGAGTTATGTTGTACTAGTGTTGTGCTTAATTATTTTTATTCAAGAGTGTGACTCTCTTGTGTAATATCTTTGTTAATAACTTGAAGGTTGCAAGCTAAACTTGAAAAAATCTTAAGTGAAGGTTCTTGAGGTAAACTAGTGTAAAAGCTTTATATGTTGTTGAATGTTCTTGGGGACAAAAGTAGGCTAAAAATATCTTCTCGAGGGTTAGAGATATGAGAAATGTCATCATGGTGGTAGCGATCGTGAAGCTAATCCTTGATTCTGTGAGCAGTTCCCATTAAAAGGAAACTTTGAATGATGTCACCTTTGATTGAATTGGTCATCCACGTCATGACCACAATGTTTTAATGATCCCATTCGAGAAAGGAACCCTAATTTATTTTTGGATCGCATGACTACAAGAATGGATATGCTCCAAGAGTGATAGATGTGGTAAGAAAATGATGGCAAGTCCCGAGTTGTCACTGAGATGCATGAAATAAGGGTCCAACATGTCTTGTTGGTTATTTCTAGTGGTGGTTGATTGATTAATGATTGTGGTTATGATGCTTTTTAAAGATGGTGATGTAGGAAATTATGGAATTGTGGTGGTTGAAGGTTCAATGATGATAATTGGGGAGACAATGGCATGTGAGATAGAAAGTTTGATCTATGGTGTTTAAATTTTGATGAGAGAGAAGGAAATAAAATGTAGTTTTATGATCTGATTATAGTAGTTGATGAGATGAAATCTTTGATAGGAAATGGTGAGAATACATGTGTGGTATATTTTTATCTATAAATTGTGTTATTATTTAAATTCATAAATTCATAAAATTATAAATTGATTTATACCAATTGGAAAATCCAGAAGAAGAAGAAGAAGAAGAAGAGAGCGAAAACATAGAAGGAGAAGAAATTTGTGCTTACTCGGAGCTACTATCACCATCGAAATCCTCACGAGTTGGTACAATTGTCGATTTCTTTTGTTTCTTCTTGTTGGTTTGTGTTGCTGAGCATGATTTGAATGTTTTTTCCTAAATAAATATGTGGTAATTGTGTTTAATTTGGGATAAATTGCAAGTTTGAAAGTTAGGTTTCCTTGGTTTTTGATTGCCCGATCTGTGAGTTTCGTTTCTCTTTCTCATGAATGTTGATGTTACTTTAGGTTTTGAAGATGGAAGCTGACATACTCAAGTCATTAAAGAATGAAATGGGAAACCCTAATGTTACCACATTTCTAACGTAAGCACATTTTTTAATTGTAACAATCTGAATATATAAAGCTTGTTGAAATAAAGTTAATTGCACTGATTATGTTTATTTGTATTTGTTTTGTTTCATAATCATATCAGGAGGTTTGTTGGGCTTGCTAATGGGAATAAAAAATTAATTCGAACTATGTTTTTTATTAGTTGGTGATATCAGGAGCTTTTAATGTGTTTACTAATTATTGTTTGTTTGTTTGTTGTTTGTTTGTTTCTAGTTGTAGAATTCTAATTTGCAGTTTGAATATTTGTGCGACTATCTTGCTGATCTAAGCTTGTTGGAGTATGAGTGTATAAGATTATTGCCTTCTGTTGTGGCTGCGTCCGTTATATTTCTCACTAGATTTATAATCCAACCAGAAGTACATCCTTGGGTAATTTTTTTATATTATGGTCTTTAATCAATTTGATTAATTAAAAACATGCTTTTTTTTCAATGTACTTAATGTAAATAATCTAATGCAGACTTCATCCTTGTGTGAATGCTTGGGCTACAAGTCATCTGAGTTGAAAGAATGTGTGAGTGCTTGCTGCTAGAGCTTGATCTTGACATATATGATAATTCATTTTTGTTATCAAGTTATCATTTGTTAATACAACCTACATTGATAAACTAATTCATATATTTTTGTTACTTACAAAATAAGATATACTACATTAGTTAGTGAAACAATAAGGGATCAATTTGACACTTATGTTCTTCAAGTGAAAATAAATGCTTCATTTTCCACTTGTGAAGATGTTCAAAGTTTGGCTATGAAGATGGTTCAAATCGAGAAACATTTGGTATTTCCATTAGCTTACAAATTTATTGAGTTAACTTTGATATTGCTGGTGTCGACATTTGGTATTTCCATTGGTTTACAAATTTATAAATTTTTGCCCAAGTTATATAATTTTTCTGACTTCGCCACTGGTTCTACCGCATGGGAAAGCATTCTCCTCTACAAGAATTGGCTTCAAGACCCATTCAAGATCGAATTTCATTATTATTGAAACGAACAATTCTCATTATAAGGTAAAATGATAACAAACTCTAATACTTTAAATATATTTTTTTTAATTCTCGTTATTATTTTAGATGTGCTTATTAGTAACGGTACAATAGAACATGTATCATCATAATACTCTATTCGTTCTTTTTTAATTATCATTTTTTTATTTTTTACACATAACAAGGAAGCTAATTATTATTATTATTTTTTAAGCAATAATTTTCATTTTATCTATAATAATTTTAATTATTCATTAATTCATCTGACTTTCTCTCTCTCTAAATAATATTAGTAAATAATTAAGGTAATTTTGACAAAAACAATAATGAATACTAACTAGAACTTTGAAAATGACACTTAAAAAAAACATTTTTTTATACAAAAGAGACAATTAAAAATAACAAAGAAAATATTATTCAAGATTCATTCTAATCTACTAAAATATAAACAACTAATAAATGACTCATGTGTTCGCACATGTCGCGTAAAGTCGATATAAATATTAAATAAATATTATGTAGTTATGGTTAAAAAATGTATATAAAAATATATATGAATTAAGAGGGAAAAAAACTTTCAATGATGATTGTCACATAAACTTTAATTTAATTTATTAAGTTGTAGTAGTTGTGAGGATATACATAGAAATTATGTTGAAAAATATATGGGTATATGGTCTAATACACTTCACACACATATATAAATCTGATTATCTACCCGTGTGTTTGCATTGTTGTGCAATAATATTATAAATAGTAAATAAATATGATATAATGATGGTTAAGAAATATATATAAAAGATATACAAATTAAATAGTATCGACCTATAAGAAATGTATATTTTAGACATAATATTTTCATGAAGTTTATAATAATGGTTTAATTAAATTTATAAAAAAATCATACTTAATTGATTGAATCAATTTTTATAGGATCAAAACTATCTTATCAAATTTGTGTATTCACCACCTATCATTATTGTCCAGTATTTTTTTTATCAAAAATAAATATTGTAATATTTTTTTGTATAACTTATAACATTTTATCATAAAAATAATACTAACAATTTTTTTTTTATAAATTAAAATTTTGTATCATTTATTATTATTATTCAATTAATGGTTAAATATGTTATTTGTCCATATAAATATAGCGATTTTCACTTTTAGTCCCACTAAAATTTTTCTTTAAAGAATGAACCCTGTAAAATTTTCCATCCACAAAATTAGTATGTGACGTTAAATTCCACTAACGGCTGATGACGTGGCAGGACAGGTGGAATAATTTTTTTTAAATACTGTTTTAATAGTGGACATATGGGTAAACATTTTCTTATCATTTCCAATAACTATAGGTCCAAAAATCCCTCAAGAAACAATACATTATTATCTTTCCTCCCCAAAGTTGTAACTTCAACTCACTTTCAGTTGCGTAGGTAGTTTCCAATGAAATCCAAAGCTGCAAACTTTTTCTCTATTTAAACCGAAAGCTGCAATGTTTGCACTCAATGAAAATCCAACTACTGCTCAAAATCCAACTTATACTCAAAGTCCATAAGTGAAAGTCACTTCATTTGGTTTCTCTCCAGATTGGACCATTTGATAGAAAAACGAGACAACCATTTCACCATGCCAGTGCTTTCCATAAGCAGCAATTATTGCACTCCAAATAATAATATCCTTATCTTTGAAAGGTATTATATCAAAAACTTGGTGAGCATATCCTAAACTTCCGCACTTTTAGTATTATATCAACTAGCCTACTAGCTACTTCAAGTTTGCAAAGAAATCCCAATCTTATAAGGTAACAATGTATGTTAATTGCCTGTTTGAGGTCAACAAGAATAGCATATGCAGAAAGAAGACTATTTAAGGTTGGACTGTCAGACTGCACATTTTCTTAGAAGTTTTCATAACACTTTTATAACTGAGGCTACTATCTTTGCATTTGGCATACATATAAATTAAGACAGTTTCCATAACAACCTCAAACTCAAGATTTTGCCTTATTTCCCACACATGTAGCCATTTTCCATGTCTTAAACTGCACTTCTTTCATTTGACCACACTTAACATACATATCCAACAACACATTCCTAATAACCATATTCCTCTAAAAACCTCTCTCAAGAGCCAATGCATGAACCTCCCCCCAACCTCTACATTTTTCAAAACCCCACAAGCCAGCAAAACCGAAACCAAAGTCACACAATCAGGTCCCACACCCTCCTACATCATTCTACTATAGACCTCAACACTCCTCTGCCGAATAATTCCAAAAGTATCCGTTAATCAAACTTTTCCATGACACTACTGCTGGTTCAAGCATCAAATCAAAAGCTAACCTTGAAACTTCTTTCTCTCCAGCAACCATATACATTGCCTATAAAGAGTTTTAAACAAATATGCCCCTATCAAATGCATATTTGCGTGTCTGTCTATAAACTCCACCCCCCATATCAAAGAACAACAACTCACTACAAGCCTTGATAACAATCAGATAAGTGAAGTTATCAGGCCGACTCCAACCCGAATGAATCATTTCAACAAACATGTTAAGTGCATCATTGGGGCGACCCATTTAAACATACATCTTCATCATGGTGTTCTAGGAGAACAAACTTTGTTTGGGAAATTTTTCAAACAGTTGGGAGGCGTAGGAAACATGGTGGCACTGCGTGTAGGTTGTGACGAGGTTGGAGCAGAGCTGGGACGAAGAGAGTAAGAACACATCATTTAAACAAAAAGGAAAAAAAAGAAAAATTAATATTCTCGTTTTGCATTCACATCCACATATTTAACATTATTTTATTTTTCTTGGTTAAGGTTTTTTTCTTGCCTAATTGAAAACTTGTCATACCAAATGTTTCCTAAATCCAATTGAAATCTCAAATTTCTATTTACAATTACAATGGAGTACCAAATCACAACTCTCAAGATCAAAGAATGAAATCTTCAAACAATGAAGTACATTCATGTTTTCACATCCCCTGTTTCATAAAACTTTCACCATCACCTACGTAGTCAGTCAAACCTATAACCTCATAGCTAATCACATTCGTTATTCGTTGAGATCAAACCACTTCGACCAGGTGCAGTTTGGTGACCACTCTCTATGAGTGACAATGTTTCTCAATTTATTGCTACTGACCATTACAAATATTTGAATTACTCTCATAACCTCAAATGTTGACATACTACCAGAAAACTAAAGCATATTTTCGTGAAAACTTGTTTCTACATGATGTCACATCTCCGACAATATCTAAAATATCACACACGACAATCATCACTGAATTTTCTCTTCAATGATACGCACTTGTCTATTTATAAGAGAAGCAAGTCAATGGTGCCTTACATGCATGAAGACACTTGTCATTTGCCTTCCATGCATGAAGACACTTGTCATTTGCCTTCCATGCAAAACAACAAATGTCCTTTGCAAGATATACACCATAAGAAGTGTTATTTGCAAAGCATACATCATAACAAGGGTACTTTGCAATGCATACACCATAACAAGTGTTACTCACACACCTTACTACCTGTCATCACATGAAACCTTCCATTATGTCAAATGTATGTTGACAATGTGAAAATGGTTGAACCTCACATTTCTCCCCCTATGGCGCTTCCTCCAAAACGGGTACACACACGCCATAAAGTTAATTTTAGGTTGATATTATAAAAGCTACTTTCCTATACTCTTCATTTTCAAGAATTACAGCGTCGTAAGTTAATTTTAGGTTGATATTATAAAAGCTACTTTCCTATACTCTTCATTTTCAAGAATTACAGCGTCATTATAATTCAAAGAATAGCACAAACTTTATAATTCAAAGAATAGCGTTAATTTTAGGTTGATATTATAAAAGCTACTTTCCTATACTCTTCATTTTCAAGAATTACAGCGTCGTTATAATTCAAAGAATAGCACGAACTTTAGTGCGAATTTAAAGCAACAATGTACTCATCACACCGATCCTACTTCGATTCAAAGTAGATGATTCTTACTTTTAAAATCAATTAAGATTTTCGTGCGATAAATCTTACTATTTTTCAATGCATTTATGATTTTCAATGACGATTGTTTAGTTTTGAATTTAGAGTTATTAATGATTCAAACACTGTTGGTTGTTCTTGAGGATGGTACCAACACTGTTGTTGCTGAGGATGGTACAAACATTGTTGTTGCTGATGATGGTACCAACACCGTTGTTCTTGAGGATGGTACCAACACTGTTGTTACTGAGGATGCTTGAGGATGATACAAACACTTTTGCTAAGGATGGTACAAACATTGTTTTAGCTGAGGATGGTACCAACACCGTTGTTCTTGAGGATGGTACCAAGACTGTTGTTACTGAGGATGCTTAAGGATGGTACAAACATTGTTTTAGATGAGGATGGTACAAACACCGTTATTCTTGTGGATGGTACAAACACCGTTGTTCTTGAGGATGGTACAAACACTGTTGTTCTTGAGGAGTACAAACATTGTTTAAGCTGAGGATGGTACAAACACTGTTGTTACTGAGGATGGTACACTGTTGTTACTGAGGATGGTACAAACACTGTTATTACTGAGGATGGTACCAACACCGTTGTTCTTGAGGATGGTACCAACACTGTTGTTCTTGAGGATGGTACCAACACCGTTGTTCTTGAGGATGGTACCAACATTATTGTTACTGAGGATGGTACCAACACCGTTGTTCTTGAGGATGGTACCAACATTGTTGTTACTGAGGATGCTTGAGAATGGTACAAACACTGGCTGAGGATGGTATAGACACTGTTTTAGCTGAGGATGGTATAGACACTATTTTAGCTCAGGATGGTACAAACACTGGCTGGAGATGGTATAAACATTGTTTTAGCTGAGGATGGTACAAACATTGTTGTTCTCGAGGATGGTACCAACACTTTTGTTTCCGAGGATGGTACAAACACTATTGTTGCTAAGGGTACAAACACAAACAATGTTGTTGCTGAGGGTACAAACATTGTTGTTACAAACACATGTACAAACACAAACAATGTTGTTGCTGAGGGTACAAACATTGTTGTTACAAACACAAACAATGATGGTGCTGATCATGAATCCACCAAATTCATTGATGCACACAACTTTAACCAAATTGTAACACAACTGTATGAAACAGGACATGAGAGTGAAGCAACTAAGCTGATTGGATTTTATCTTAGAATAGAAAGAGGATATTTGATAGAAGCTGGATATTTGAGTGAATATATTGATGATGGACATTTTCGTTCTTCTTACAGTGAATCCAACAATACACAATCGGTTGCAACTCCTGATACCACTATTGTGGCAACTGCTGATACAGTGTGTGCTAGCTGAAATGATACAAATCACACAAGATCAGACAACAATAATCCAAAATCAGACAAGGGTATGGAAAATCAGAGAGATATTATCCACAACCAGGCGAATGTTATCAAGATTCTATCAAATTAACTGAACTTGCCAAATCAATTCAAGAGAAGTAGTTATTTGGCCAATTCAGGTTAATATAAACTTTGCATTTGATTCTATGTTTTGCTTTATTTGCTCAATTTTGGTTACTAGCATTTGGTTCATTTGATTTTATGTTTTTCTTTATTTGACCAATTCAGGTTACTAGCATTTGATACATTTCTGTGATTCTACTCTACTCTCCAATTTTGATTACTATACTAAGAATATTTTAGTTGGGAATTCTATTATTCTTTTATTCAATTACTTAGAGACTCATGTGCTAAAGTCAAAATGAGGCCCCATGTGCTAAAAAGGAGAGATTTCATGTCACCTTTTGTATTAATCCTTGCACCCCTATATTTTCATATTGATCAGATTATCTATGTTATTATTAACTCTACAAATTATGTTTCGTGAAAAAAATTCATTGGGAAAATTTTTGAAAAAATGAAATTTTCAGTACATATTAGCGAATTTTTGGTATCGCTTAAGGTAAAATATTGAAAATTCTTTGTATTTCAGAATTTTCTAGAAGCGATTCATCGGAAATTTTCAAATTGGCGGTACGAATTTTAAATGTTTGAATATTATACTTGATTTTTCCTAAAATTCTTAAAGATTTCAAAATATATGGAAATTTCAAATTTCGAGTTTACCGAAAATTTTGCCAACCCTGTCATTTCTGCTATGGCAAAGAATGAACCTCACTAACAGCTTCTTCTACGGGTTCTTATACATATTGTAAGGAGTTCTTCATCACTGATGTTGTACCTATTATATTTAACAAATCTTATTCCAAAATGTTTGTCTGTTTGTAGGAAATTGTTAATTTAACATTTATATTTCAAAATTGACAGATATTCAAGACTCTATCAGATGTGTTAGGATGGGCACATGCTACTGGGAAACAACATGGTACTATTGTTGTCACCGTTCCTTATGATTCGGCTAATGGAATCATAGAGAGGAAGGATAAATTGATTATGTATAGCGAGAAAAGATGAAATTATAAAAGAAAGAAAAGGCATGTTAAAGCACAAACTCATCTGACAACGTTTATAGCATAAAAGTGAAATGTCCTTTTAGGCTGAGAGTTGTTCTAAATGGTGTTGGTTGGAAGATGATGGTTAGGTGTAAGATACACAATCATAAATTATCTGAGAATTTGGAAGGTCGTGACATATTGAGTTGTTTAAAAGATCATGAATGATAGTTTGTGAATGATATGACGATATACAACATGGCTCCAAGGTTCGTCGTTGCTGCTTTAAAAGACAAATATCCTGAAAATCTAACTAGTGTTACTCAAGTGTATAGAGTCAGAGCTACAAACAAAACGGGCAAAAGAGAATCATTGACAGAAATGCAAATGTCGTCGAGTCTTATTCATAAAGAGAAATACATGTATTAGACTAGAAATAGACGGCGTAGATGTTGTTATTGATATCTTTTAGACACATCTGGATTCAGTGAAGTTGCGGGATATGTTTCATTTGGTGTTGATTTTTGACTGCACATACAAGACAAATATGTAAGAATATTTTATTGGACATCCTAACATCGGTTGTTGTAAGTGATGATGTAAAAACATCGGAATCAGCATTTGCGGGTCGCTTTAGGCACTGTGAAGAGGAAGTTAGGAAATTATTTTAATTTATTTTATACCCTTTTATGTATGATAATTATTAAATGTCTATGTTTAATCAGGTGTCATGTTTATTGGTCCAGTTATGTTCGAAGAAAATCAATTGAAAAAAAGGAAAAAAACACATGCTAACAGAGTTCCGAAAATTTAAAATTTCCGGAATTTTTTGGTGATTACCGGAAATTTTATTAAAATTCCGGTAATTATTGTAACATAACCGGAAATTTGAAATTAACAAATTTTTACGGAAAATATATGTGTTTTTAACAAAATTTTCGGTAAACAATCCAAATTTCCTATATACGTTAAAAACTTTCATGTTTTCCAAAATATTTTTGGGTAAAATGCTCAAAAAATGGGGGGGGGGGGGGGGGGGGGGGGGGGGGGGGGGGCATGTATAACTCTGGAGTGACATGTTAAAATCTCTAAAAAAGAGTTGACCGATATATATATATATATATATATATATATATATATATATATATATATATATATATATATATATATATATATATATATATATATATATATATATATATATATATATATATATATATATATATATATATATATATATATATATATATATATATGTGAGAATTTTTTGATACACCATTGTGGATTCTTAGGGGCCTCTGAGCAAAATTTTCATAATACTCCTTGAATTCGGATATGCATATCCGAATAAACCATTTTTTACAAAATATTTAACTTCGGAGATGCATATCTGAAAATACCATATTTTTTATACACAAAAAATTATATTTTCAGATATGCATCTTCAAATAAACCTTATTTTTTACGGAAAAAAAATATTTTCGGATATGCATATTTAAGTCTTAAAATTGTGAAAGTGAGATAGTGTGAAAGCATATCGGATGACGCACTTAGTGTTTTAGAGTGATCAATTTAATATAAAACGGACAAGATTAAGTTTTTAGGTACTAAGGAAATCACACACACATTATCTTTTCAACCCTTCTATAGTTTTATTAAACTTCCTAAAACGAATACATGCGAGTATGTATTCGGTTAAGAAGTGTTCCTAATAAATAGAGAAATTTAACTCACTACCTAATCCATTAAGCCTTGATCAAATCAATTAAAGGAAAGACAATTGTATTTTAATCAATTAGAAAATAAATTGATCGATTAAAGCATATAGACATATAAGGGGTTCCTTTTCTAGATTAGAGTTGCATTTTTAAAGTGGATTAATCAATTAAAATATCTTTTAATCAATTTACTCATTTATTTATGCCCGAGGATTATTTCCTTTTTAGCAATATTTTTTTCTTTATAAATGAGGTTTTTCCTCATTTCATCTTACACCATATTTTTTAATAGAAACCTCTCCATTATTTTTCTACTTTTTTTCTTTTTGAAATTCTCCCCTTTTTTACTAGAATTGTCATTGTTTAAAGAGTGAAAAAGCTCTTTTAAGAGTTTTATTTTACTAGTGTTGTGCTTAATTATTTTTATTCAGAAGTGTGACTCTCTTATGTAATATCTTTGTTAATAACTAAGGTTGTAAGTTAAACTTGAAAAAAAAAATCTCAAGTGAAGGTTCTTGAGGTAAACTAGTGTAAAAGCTTTATATGTTGTTGAATGTTCTTTGGGACGAAAGTAGGCTAAAAATATCTTCTCAAGGGTTAGAGATACAAAAAATGTCATCGTGGTGGTAGCGACCACGGAGCTAAACCCTGATTCCCATTAAAAGGAAACTTTGAGTGATTTCACCTTTGATTGAGTTGGTCATCCACGTCATGACCATAATATTTTAATGATCCCATTCGAGAAAGGAACCCTAATTTATTTTTGGATCACATGGCTACAAGAATGAATTTGCTCCAAGAGTGATAAATATGGTGGGAAAATGACGGCAAGTCCCGAATTGTCACTGAGATGCATGAAATAAGGGTCCAACATGTCTTGCTAGTTATTTCTAGTGGTGGTTGATTGATTAATGATTATGGTTATGATGCTTTGTAAAGATGATGATGTAGGAAAATATGGATTTGTGGTGGTTAAAGGTTCAATGATGATAAATGGGGAGACAATGGCATGTGAGTTAGAAAGTTTGATCTACCGTGTTTAAATTTTGATGAGAGAGAAGGAAATAAAATGTAGTTTTATGATCTGATTATAGTAGTTGATGAGATGAAATCTTTGATAGGCAATGGTGAGAAGACATGTGTGGTATGTTTTTATCCATAAATTATGTTATTATTTAAATTCATAAATTCATAAATTCATAAATTGATTTATACCAATTAGAAAATTCAGAAGAAGAAGATGAAGAAGAAGATGATGAAGAAGAAGAGAGCGAAAACATAGAAAGAAATTTGTGCTTACTCGGAGCGGAGCTACTATCGCCACCGAAATTCTCACGAATTGGTATAATTGTCGATTTCTTTCGTTTCTTCTTGTTGGTTTATGTTGCGGACCATGATTTGAACATTATTTCCTAAATAAATATGTAGTAATTGTGTTTAATTTGGGATAAATTGCAAGTTTGAAAGTTAGGTTTCCTTGGTTTTTGATTGTCCGATCTGTGAGTTTCGTTTCTCTTTCTCATGAATGTTGATGTTACTTTAGGTTTTGAAGATGGAAGCTGACATACTCAAGACATTAAAGAATGAAATGGGAAACCCTAATGTTACCACATTTCTAACGTAAGCACATTTTTTTTAATTGTAACAATCTGAATATCTAAAGCTTGTTGAAATAAAGTTAATTGCAGTGATTAAGTTTATTTGTATTTGTTTTGTTTCATAATCATATCAGGAGGTTTATTGGGCTTGCTAATTGGAATAAAAAAAATTAAGTCAAACTATGTTTTTTATTAGTTGGTGACATCAGGAGCTTTTACTGTGTTTACTAATTATTGTTTGTTTGTTTGTTTTTAGTTGTAGAATTCTAATTTGCAGTTTGAATATTTGTGCAACTATCTTGTTGATCTAAGCTTGTTGGAGTATGAGTGTATAAGATTATTTCCTTCTGTTGTGGCTGCGTCGGTTATATTTCTCACTAGATTTATAATCCAACCAGAAGTACATCCTCGGGTAATTTTTTTATCTTATGGTCTTTAATCAATTTGATTAATTAAAAACATGCTTTTTTTCAATGTACTTAATGTCAATAATCTAATGCAGACTTCATCCTTGTGTGAATGTTTGGGCTACAAGTCATCTGAGTTGAAAGAATGTGTGAGTGCTTGCTGCTAGAGCTTGATCTT